TTTTGGGGTGTTTTGGGATATTTTGGGGCGTTTCTCTCACAGCTGCAGCTCCCGGCTCTGCTCTCTCTTGGCCAGCTGCTTCTCGCGCTCCTTGACCAGCGCCTCCTGCTTGGCCTTCATGTCATTGAGGGTGACCAGGCCTGGGGACAGCGGGGACAGGGGTGGGGACAGCGCGGGGACAGCCCCGGGGGGTTCAGGGGGGGTTTCGGGGTGAATTTGGGGGGATTTGGGGGCGCCCCTCACCCACGGTGCTGGATTTCAGCTCGGCCTCCACAGCGTCGTAGTGAGCCGAGAATTTCTTGTCGATGTTGGACTTCATGATGTTCTCCTGGGGAGGGGGGTCAGAGACAGCCGGGACCCCTCCCCAAACCCCCCTAAACCGAGAGACCCCTCCCCAAACCCCCCTAAACCGAGAGACCCCTCCCCAAACCCCCCGGACCCCTCCCCAAACCCCCCCAAACCTCGAGACCCCTCCCCAAACGCCCCCGGCCCCCCCGAACCTCCTGGATGCGCTGCCGCAGCTGCTCCATGTGTTCCCGCTGCCGCTCGCGTTTCTTCATCAGCTGCAGCGCCCGGCCGGCCTCGCTGGCCGCGCCCTTGTACTGCGCCATGGCCGCGCGGGGGGTTCGGGCTTTTGGGGCTTTTTGGGGCTTTTTGGGGTCCGGCGGTCCCGGCAGCAGCGGCGGCCGGAGAGAACCCGGAAGTGCGCGCGGCGCCGGAAATGCGTCACTTCTCGCCGCGGATTGGTCCAGTCCTAATTAGTCCCGCCCCGTACTCGCTTCCGATTGGCTCCCAACGGCCTTAGCCCCGCCCCGCTGTGCCCCCGCCCCCGGCGTTCTCATTGGTGCTTCCCTGGGCCCCGCCCCCTACCACGCGCTGATTGGCTCAGCCCCTCCGCTTGTTCCCGCCCCCTCCGTGCCGCCCGCTGATTGGCCCATCCCGAGCCTCGGCCCCGCCCCCATTCCCAGCGCTTTTGGGAATTTCGGGAATTTTGGGAATTTCGGGAATTTTGGGGTTCCCGGATTTTTATTGACAGACTCGGACAATAAATAACGGGGGGAGGGGTCCCCCAAAGCCGCCCCTCCCCCTCCGGGGCGGGCTGGGGGCACCGGGAGCGCGCGGGGGGGGGGAGGGGCCCCAAAATCCGGGGGGGGGGAGCCCAAAAATGGGGGGAGGGGCTGCGGGGCTTTTGGGGGGTCCTGGGGGGTCCCACAACTTTTGGGGAGGGGGAAAAGAAGGGGCTGCCGTGGGGGAGGGGCTGCCGTGGGGGAGGGGCTGCCGTGGGGGAGGGGCTGCCGTGGGGGAGGGGCTCCCGCGGGATTTTTGGGGGGAATCTCCCGGATTTTCGGGCGTTTCTCTCCGCTTTTGGGGTCCCCCTCACTCGCTGAGGGGCACGGGCAGGGGGGGGCCGCGGGGGTCGTCGA